TGCACAGGGTGAACTAGAGGAATCCGGCAGGGCGAGGAGGCCGAAGGGGCACATCTGGGGTGCAGGCGGGAGGGCCGGGTTTCTCTGTGGCGGGACAGCTGTGGTGCAAACACGCACGGGGACGAGTGCACGGATATGCACGTCTCTACGGAGCTGGGTCTACCCGGGGAGGGGCAGGGGGTGCGCAGGGGGCCGACGGGCCGAGCGTGGCCACAGAGGGGAAGCCTTAGGCTGGGGAGCAGCGATGCTCCCAGGGAGTTTGCTCTGCAGAGCGCCTAGGCGGGGAGGCAAGGAGCCGGGCAGGCCGTAGGGCCCCCCCATAAGCTGAGATCCACCACCACGTGCCTGTAGACCAGCGTGCTGCTCTTGAAGCTGGGGGCCAGCAGGAGGTCCATGCCCTGCACGGGGATGTAGCAGAAGGCCCGGGGCGCTTGGACGGAGAGCTCCTGGAACCGGCCGTCCCAGAGGTACACGTGGGTGAAGGAGAAGTCGCTGCCCAGCACCATGTACTGCCGCTGGGCCGCCAGGAAGGGCTGCATGACCATGGAGCCCCGCGAGGGCAGGGTCTGCAGCTCGGTGAAGTGCTGCCCCTCCCACCGGACCACCTTGGAGTCCCCGATGTAGCGGCTGAGGCAGAGGAAATGGTCCCTCTTGACCCGAAAGTGCTTGACCATCTGCACGTCCATCACCTCCCCCACCTCCCCCTGCGGCACGAACTGCTTCTGGGCCCGGCTCCACTGGTAGATGACGGGGGCCTGGGAGCTGCTGGAGATGATGAGCCGGGGCTTGCCCTCGCCCTCCACGTACTCCACGTCGGTGTCGCGGTGCCAGGGGTGCAGGGCCTGCTGGGAGTAGAAGCCGTTCTGGTGCCAGCGGTACTGCCGGCGATGGCGAAGTACCACTCGCCGTCGATCTGGAAGGCCTCGATGTCGTTGGGCTTGCGGATCATCCTGCTGTCCATGTCCTGGATCTTGACGAACTTGTCCACGGTGGTGTCCCAGCGGTAGATGTAGGAGCCGCCGAAGAGCTGAGCCACCACCACGTACAGCTGGGACTGCACCACGATGGGCTTGCAGTGCACGGCCGAGTGAGCTGCGAGGGGGGGAGAGAGGGGCTGAGTCAGCAGGGAGCATTCTGCATGTGTCAGATACAGCCTGCACCCGGAGCCCAGTCCGGGGGTCAGCGAGATCCAGTCCGGGCTCTCATCCTCCTCAGGGCTGAACCCAGAGCCCAGTCCGGGCGCCAGGGAAATCCAGTCCGGACTCTCATCCTCCCCAGGGTTGCACCCAGAGTCCATGCCAGGTGAACAGAGAAATCCGGTTCCAGCTTTTCCTACCAGAAGTGAAGGGGGCTGGAGGGTCCCTCTCCCTGTTGGCACTAAGACAGTTTTCACTTGTGTCTGTCTCAGACCCAGGCACTTCCTGGAGGCTGAGGAGAGGCGGAGAACCAGGACTGGATTTCGGTGCCCACCTGGAGGGATGAAGCCCCAGTAGAATAGCCCTGGAGCAGTTTCCAGTGGCCAGTGGAGGTAAGTGCCGGTGAGCAGCGCTAGTGCGCCTGCTTGCACACACACCACACACCTCTGCACACACCTGCTTGTGCACACACCACACACACCTCTGCACACACCCACCACGCATTTGCACACACATCTGCACACACCTGCTTGCACACCCACACACCTCTGCACACCTGCTTGCACACATGCTTCTGCACACACCTGCTTGCACACACATCTGCACACACCTGCTTGCACACCCACACACCTCTGCACACCTGCTTGCACACATGCTTCTGCACACACCCGCTTGCACACACACCACACACCCCACACCTAACACACCTGTTTGCACGCACACACCACACACCTGCTTGCACACACATACACCACACACCTCTGCACACACCTGCTTGTGCACACACACACATCACGCACCTCTGCACACACCTGCTTGCACACACACATCTGCACACACCTGTTTGCACACACACAGACCACATGCCTTGGAACACACCTGTTTGCACGCACACACCACACACCTGCTTGCACACAGACCACACGCCTTGGAACACACCTGCTTGCACACACATACACCATGCACCTTTGCACACACCTGCTTAGTGACGGGAATTCCACACCCTCCCCTAGAATGGGTTTCCCAGCAGGTGGTGGAATCCCCATCGCTGGAGGCCTCTCAGAAGAGGTTGGACAAATCCCCGTCAGGGATGCTCCAGGGTTACTTGGTCCTGCCTCCGCGCAAGAAGGGACCAATCCTCTTGCAGCCCGACACGTCTATGATGCTGTACCACTCACGGAGGCTCCTACCTGTGTGCACGCAGACACGGGAGACTCTCCCACGGACTCCTGCACCCGCACACCTGCCCCGGCACGCATGGCCTGGAATCGCAAGGGGCCTCCGCCTCTAAGCGCTGCACCGTGTACCCCGAGGGGGGCCCAGAGCGTCTCCGGAACCTGCCCGGAGCCACGCCAGGGAGGCGACCGTGCCCTGTGCCTTTCCCCGCGCCGTGAGACGTGGATTGCAAACGTCCACACCCCGTACTGACGGGGCCGGGCTGGTCCTTCTGGTCTCCCCAACAGCCTCCCGGCCCTGGCTTCCGGGGAAGCACCGGGCCCCGGCGGGACGTCTCGGTCCCCATGGCTGCAGCTTACCGGGGATGCGGTCGAAGTCCCGCAGCTTGCGCTCCACGTAGTCCCACTTCAGGACGGTGCAGCTGCTGGCGCTGGGCTGGGCCAGAGCCACGTAGAGGTCACTGCTGTAGGTGAAGGGCTCAGCTGACACCGACTGGAACGGCAGGACCTGGTGCACCACGAAGTCTGGGAGGGAAGGGGCCAGGGGTGAGGACCTCAGTGGCCCCCCCAGACCTCCACGTCCAGGGGAACTGACCCCGTCCACCCCCTCCCCAGCCTAGGGAAGCCGGGAGAGCAGTGGCCCCGCCCACCTGTCGTGACGCAGTCGAAGTCCTCGAGGGCCAGGTCCCGGATGTTCTGCCCCTTGTAGCGGGCGGGGCTGCTGCAGAAGACGGCCGGCACCGTGGCGTTGGTCCGCTCCACCCACTCCGCCAGCCACTTGATCTGGCAGTCGCAGGTCAAAGCGTTGCCCCTGAGGTCCCTGGGCGGGGCGGAGGGGTGACAAGGCAGCACAGGTCACGTGAGCAACGGGACCCCGCCCCTCCAGCACCCCCAAACCAGCTGGGGAACCCCAGAGCTGGTGCTGGCAGCCCAGGCCTGGAGAAGGAAAAGGACCCAGCCCTGGAGGGAGCTGGTGTGCGGGGGCCCCTTGTGCCCCGTTCAAGAGACCCATCTTTCTGCTCCCTCCTGTGCTCTAAGCCCAGCCCCCAGGGGCGTGTGGACAGTGACACCCTCCGGCCCAGGCTAGGGAGCTGGGCGCTGGCCAGGACGGGGGGGAGGCACCGGGGCAGGCAGGAGATCAAGGGGCAGGTTGCACTGCTGAGAAGACCTCAGCCCGGCCCAGAATCGAGGTCCCGGGCTGGCTGACTCTACACAGCCTGGAACAGAGTTCCCCACAGTGACCGGCCCCTAGTGCTGGAGGGAGACCGGGGCTGGGCCTTACAGGTCACTCAGGATGTCCAGGGGCGCGAAGATCTCTCTGGGCAGCGTCTGCAGGTTGTTGTTGGCTAAAGATCTGCAGGGGAGAAGAGAGAGACTGGAGCGCCGGGGGGCAGACCCAGGGGAGGGTCCCCAAGCCAGCACTGCCTGTGCCCAGTGACAGCCCCCGCCCCGACTCCTGCCCCAAAGCCAGAGAGGCGGGGTGGGCGGCTCCCTGTGACACTCACACACACAGACCCGGTGTACTCCTGGGCCGGGCAGGCCGGGCGTGCTAGCCCCAGTGCTGGGTGAGGTGTGCTGCGCTCCCATGTGCCTGCGAGGTGCGCCCTGCGCGCCCAGGGGACTGCTCATGGGAACGCCGTGTGCCTAGGGAAGTGCAGGGTACTCTCTGCTCACAGCTCTGTGCAAAGCGTGCCGTGCCCATGGGGTGTGTTAGGTGCACTCTACCCACTGTCGCGTGCAAAGCGTGCCATGCCCGCAGGGTGTGCTAGTTGCACACTACCCATTGTCCCGTGCAAAGCGTGCCATGCCCACAGGGTGTGCTAGTTGCACACTACCCATCGTCCCGTGCAAAGTGTGCTGTGCCCACGGGGTATGCTAGTTGCACGCTACCCACTGTCCCGTGCAAAGCGTGCCATGCCCACAGGGTGTGCTAGTTGCACACTACCCATCGTCCCGTGCAAAGTGTGCTGTGCCCACGGGGTATGCTAGTTGCACGCTACCCACTGTCCCGTGCAAAGCGTGCCATGCCCACAGGGTGTGCTAGTTGCACACTACCCATCGTCCCATGCAAAGCGTGCCGCGTGCAAAGCGTGCCATGCCCACAGGGTGTGCTAGTTGCACACTACCCATCGTCCCGTGCAAAGTGTGCTGTGCCCACGGGGTATGCTAGTTGCACGCTACCCACTGTCCCGTGCAAAGCGTGCCATGCCCACAGGGTGTGCTAGTTGCACACTACCCGTACTCTCGTGCAAAGCGTGCCGTGCCCACAGGGTGTGCTAGTTGCATACTACCCATCGTCCCGTGCAAAGTGTGCTGTGCCCACGGGGTATGCTAGTTGCACACTACCCGTACTCTCTTGCAAAGCGTGCCGTGCCCACAGGGTGTGCTAGTTGCACACTACCCGTACTCTCGTGCAAAGCGTGCCGTGCCCACAGACCCAGGTCGTACTCACAGGTGTGCCAGGGATTTCAGCCCTCGGAAGGTGAATTTGGACAGGGAGCGGATGTCGTTGTTCTCAATGAACCTGCGGGAAGAAATGGGGACAGGTCACGGCCTCTGCTCCCGGACAGGGGGTGCTGCCAAGCAGCCCCAGGGACTCAGCTCCCCTTATCCTGGGGTGACCCCCCCAGATTGGAGACATCCCCGGGCTGGGATACAGCGACTCCCCCCGACCCCAACCAGAGATGGCACCTTCCCTGCCCCGCCCCCAACAAGCCCCCCAGGCACACCCCCAGCCCGGCGCACGT